TCAGGGAACGACAATTAACGATTATTAATAATCTCTTGCCAAAATACATTCCGAAACACCCCCTTTCCTTACACCCCCCTCCCCCATTCCCCTCCGCCACTTCCCTTTCTGCTTTCCTGTCCCCCTCCCCGCAAAACCTTTGTAGAAAACACTACCAGCTAAGATATCTTATTACGGGTGGAACGGTTGTTGTCAGAGAAGGTTTAAAACCTTCCCAAGATCTCAGACGAAAAAAACAAGCGAGTGACGGTGGGGGATAGGCAAAATATTAAGCGTAGCATAAACCTCGGAGTGTCAATTCTGTGAAGTATTACCATATGATCGGACAAATTATATTACGCCAAGCTAAAATATTCCCAAAGCGAATTATAAACTTAGACCTTTACGCAATTCACTACTACTTGGTAACAGAACAGTTTTTATTATGGAGCCATTAAAGACTTATCAGGTTACAAGTAGAGTCCGTCACTTATTCCAGAAAAGTAATTGGAAATCACTGGACATCACTCGCTTAAGGAAAAGTGACAAAAAAAAAATGACTTTAATAAAATACGGGAAAAAAAAAATTAAAAAAGACTGCTCCAAACGGATTTTAGGTACTGTTTAAAAACAATACCTAAGGAACCCAGCACCTAACGGGATTTTGATCACTCCTGAAAATACTCAAATGTTGCTTTTTACGTTATACCTGCGCCGTCAAATTCACTACTTACTACTGGCAAACCACTCGAACAATATGTATATCAAAAGGACTCGTGCCTGTAACAATGAAACACGTTGCTTCAGCTAGACATTTAAATGGTTCTCAGGGTTGTGATTTTACATAAAATAACATATACTGCAGCGATCTTTCTCTTTGACTTATTTTCTTTCTAGCTCTAAATAAGTTGCCATTTACGCCACAGTCAACAGTATATCTGGGTAGCAATTTAACTGGATCGGCCTCGTCCGTAGTGATAACAGCACAGAACATTCAAGAAAGCTATTCTGGGAAAGGTTTATATCAATTATTTTCTCCTTGATAACTACGAAATCTTTTAGTCACATTTACACTTTTGTTTGTTAAAAATCTTTCATCAGTGTATCAAGTCTTCTTTCTTATGAGGAAGAGAGCTTCACATCAAGTCGGCAAATACACGTCTTGATTAAGATTCAACACTTTCGTCACTTCTTCGCTATGCACAGTTTCCATGTTCCGTACCTAAGAGGTAGATAAATATATACATATTAATAATAATAACCAACTTTACTTTTTGATGGTGGCACACAACAGTAATCACCGAAAAACCAGTGGCCCTCGTATAGATATTTACAGAATAAGATCACGTGTTAAAAATTGAAAACACAGAAACTGCCATATCAAACTTTTCTATAAGGTAGAACGTGCAACAAACACAGTGAACTCGAAGACACAGTACAGTCACATTCAAGGCTAACAAATCTTTCACATAGAAGAATCATTTCGAAAAAGAAAGGGGATTCAAATCTTATGCCAGTAAGGTTTTAAACATTGTAACTATTATTTCGTACAAAGAACTGTTCCCTCAAATTGTTGTCAGAAATATATTACGTCTGCTAGCACTCCTTAAGAGAAATCACGTCGAAAAGTGAAAAAAAATGTTTCTGATATTTTCCTTCAGGTTCACAATTGTGTCGTTGTGTAATTGTGTAAAATCAGTTTCAAATGTTAGCAAACCTGGACGCTCTTTCATTTCAACAACAGCAATTGCTAAAACACGTATATTTCCATGTCATTACCACACACGGTCCTACTTACATTGAAGGACATTTATTCGCTTCCACCACATTCCAGTGTGACATCATCTCCAATCAACACAAACGGAGCCCAGTGTTTCACTTCATTAAACTCGTCAGATTCTCTCATATGTTTCATGGCTTTGTTCAATGATTCACTGGCACTGATCCCATTTACCAAGTACGAGTAGAAACTTTTCATGAACTCCAGAGTGGCTTCGTCTTCAATCGCCCACAGGGAAACCAGGACAGCACGAGCTCCGGCACCCAGAAACGCTCGTGCAATGCCAACAACTCCCTCAGCTTTAATCTCCCCACGACCACTATGACAGCAACTTAACACCACCAGCCTTGCACTAATTTGAGCACTTGTTACATCTTTCATTGTTAAAAGGCAGTCTTCATCCGCAGGAATCTGGGATGTTCGTGTAGTGTTGGGTGCTAAGGCAATTTCTCCTGTTTCCATTTGACCATGTGCAGCAATGTGTATCAAAGCAACTGTGGGAAGTCGTCGTAACACTTCTCTCTTTGTTGCCTCTCTTCCAGTGAGGGGTTTGGTGTTAAAGATTCTCCCAATCATCTGCACTTCTTTTCTAGCGAATGGCAGCTGTTCCAATATTATCCCTCGGATAACAACTTCTTGTACCCACGGGTCACCCACTAGAAGAACTCCCGTCTTGCTGTGGTGACCAGTCGGAGAATTACTGATCAGTTTCAAACTGGTGAGGGACGGTATCACTCGCATCCTACAAACATCAGATAAATACCTTGAATTAGAGTCCACGAATGCAGCATAAGGAGCCAGCGACAATGGACCTTCAGGAACCAATATAATTTCGTTACCATGAATCAAGTCTGCAATAGGGTCAATGAAAACATCATGAAATCTTCTTAAAGCATTTATGTGGAGGGGGACAGGCTTGTGTGGTGTCTGTGGAGACCTCCCATTTGCAACCTGCTCATTTCCCAGTTTGTCCAATGAGCGATCCTCGCATTTCACACCAGCTCTTACGCCAATTTCCTGAAAAGCAGCCTCAAGTAAACACTTCAGGAAGTCTGAACAGTCATCAGCAAGTTTCGTTTTCCTTAATTCCACTTCTTTTCCGTTTTCAACGATCCAGAAAACAATATCTCGCTCATCAATTGCTACAAAAACAGCAGTCGATGGAAGAAAACTGAATGAGTCGAATTTACTTTCTTTCCTAGTTTGTAACTGGCAGTAAGTTATTCCGAGCCCATAGTTTAATTCCATCAGATCATTCATTGCTTGTGCACGTCCTTGGTCAGCAGCAAAAAGAGCCTTCTCTACCTCGCCTTGTTTTAATAACAGACGCCACAGGCTGGAGTATGCAATTTCATACATATTGCGGTAGCTGATTTTCCAATCATCTTTGCCTTTGAGATCATGCCTTATGATATTGAACATTCTCACACTGGAATAAAAACAATCAACAGCCTTGGGAAGAAACTCCAGTACTTCAAAGTTCCAGCCAAGATTATAAAACGATGCGGCAGCCGAACCTTTGTCTCCCACTTCATTGGCAAGTTTTAGACTACGTTTATGGTAGTCAATTGCTGTTTCAAAATTGGCCAGACTTCCATAAGCACAGCCTAGATTACCATAAGCTTGTCCTTCTCCCGCTTTGTCTCCCACTTCTTGGGCAATTTTTAGATGACCTTCAAAGTAGTCAATGGCTGTTTTAAAATCCTCCAGATTTAAATAAGCTGTGCCAAGACTTCCGTAGGCGCTTCCTTCTCCAACTTTGTCTCCCACTTCTTTGGCAATTTTTAAGAGACGTTCATGGTAGTCAATGGCTGTTTTGAATTCCCCGCGACTTTGATAAGAGTTGCCAAGATTACCATAGGCGCTTCCTTCTCCAACTTTGTCTCCAACTTCTTTGGCAATTTTTAAATGACCTTCATGGAAGTCAATAGCTGTTTCAAAATCCCCCAGACGTTCATAAGCGTTGCCAAGATTGCCATAGATGCTGCCTTCTGTTGCCTTGTTTCCCACTTCTTTGGCAATTTTTAGAGCACGTTCATGGTAGTCAATCGCTGATTTGAAATCCCCCAGACTTTTGTAAACGTTGCCAAGATTGCCATAGGTGCCTCCTTCTCCAATCTTGTTTCCCACTTCTTTGGCAATTTTCAGACCTCGTTCATAGTAGTCAATGGCTGTTTTGAAATCCCCCTGACGTTGATAAGCGTTACCAAGACTACTATAAGTGGTTCCTTCCTCATCTCTGGCCCCCACTTCTTTGGCAATTTTTAGAGCACGTTCATGGTAGTCAATGGCTGCTTTGAAATTCCCCAGACTTTCATAAACGTCGCCAAGTTTATCATAGGTGCTTCCTTCTCCAGCTTTGTCTCCCACTTCTTTAGCAATTTTCAGATCCCTTTCATAGTATTCAATGGCTGTTTTGAAATCCCCCAGACTTTTATAAGCGATGCCAAGATTCCAATAAGCGCTTCCTTCTCCAGCCTTGTCTCCCACTTCTTTGACAATTTTTAGATGACGGTTATGGTACTCGATGGCTGTTTTGAAATGCCCCTGATTTTGATAAGCGTTGCCAAGACTACTATAGACCTTTCCTTCTCCAACTTTGTCTCCCACTTCTTTGGCAATTTTTAGATGACGTTCATGGTAGTCAATGGCTGTTTTGATGTCCCCCAGACTTCCATAACCGTGGCCAAGATTGCTATAGGTGCTTCCTTCTACAGTTTTGGCTCCTACTTCTTTGGCAATTTGTAGAGCACGTTCATGGTAGCCAATGGCTGTTTTGAAATCCCCCACACGTTGATAAACGTTGCCAAGATTGCCATAGCCGATTCCTTCTCCAGCCTTGTCTCCCACTTCTTTGGCAATTTTTAGATGACAATCAAGGTAGTCAATGGCTCTTTTGAAATCCCCTAGGCTTTCATAAGCGTTCCCAAGATTACCATAAGCTTGTCCTTCTAAAGCTTTGTCTCTCACTTCTTTGGCAATTTTTAGAGCACGTTCATAGCAGTCAATGGCCGTTTTGAAATCCCCCAGACTTGCATTAGCGGTTCCAAGATTAACGTAATTACGTCCTTCTCCAGATTTGTCTCTCACTTCTTTGGCAATTCTTAGATGACGTTCATAGTATTCAATGGCTGTTTTGAAATGTCCTAGACTTCCATAGGCGATGCCAAGATTACAATAAGCGCCACCTTCTCCAGTTTTGTCTCCCACCTCTCTGGCAATTTTTAGTTTACGTTCATGGTAGTCAATGGCTGTTTTGAAATCACCCAGACTTCCATAACTGACGCCAAGATTGCCATAGGTTTTTCCTTCTCCAGCTTTGTCTCCTAATTCTTTGGCACGTTTAAGAGCACGTTCATTGTAGTCAATGGCTGTTTTGAAATCCCCCACACGTTGATAACTGATGCCAAGATGGCCATAGATGCTTCCTTCGTTTGCTTTGTCTCCCACCTCTTTGGCAATTTTTAGATGACGTTCATGGTAATCAATGGCTGTTTTGAAATCCCCCAGACTTCCATGAGCGATGCCAAGATTACCATTAGCGCATCCTTCTGTAGCCTTGTCTCCCACTTCTTTGGCAATTTTTAGAGTAAGTTCATAATAGTCAATGGCTGTTTGGAAATCCCCCAGACATTGATAAACGTTGCCAAGATTGCCATAGCCGATTCCTTTTCCAGCCTTGTCTCCCACTTCCTCTGCAATTTTTAGGTGACCTTCAAAGTAGTCAATGGCTGTTTTGAAATCCTCCAGATTTAAATAAGCTGTGCCAAGACTTCCGTAGGCGCTTCCTTCTCCAACTTTGTCTCCCACTTCTTTGGCAACTTTTAGAGCACGTTCATAGTAGTCAATGGCTGTTTTGAAATCCCCCAGACTTTCATAAACGTTGCCAAGTCTATCATAGGTGCTTCCTTCTCCGGCCTTGTCTTCCACTTCTTTGGCAATTTTTAGAGCACGTTCATGGTAGTCCATGGCTGTTTTACAATTCACCTCTCTATGATGGGCGTTTCTTTCTTTACAGTTGTCTCTCACTTCGTCTTTTGAAGTTTTTGTGAAAGAGTCCGCCTTTTTCTGTTAGGCAAAAAAGATCTTGATTAATGACTTAGCTGCAAACGTTGATAAAAATTGCTAAACAAAATACAGTCCGCTGCATTAAAGTGCCAACAGGTGATGATTGTATTGGGTATAAAAAGTTGAAAAAAATAGTTGGTCTTCAGACTTTAAAGTCTGATCGAATGGTTAAGCTTCCTCAGTTTGACAAACACCATGTTTGTTACTAGATAATCTTCCGCTAGAAGAACTTTTTATCCAGAGAACTCGACTTCCGTAATGTAGCTTTCAAATTTCCCAGTCAACATGCGCTGGTAAGTGTTTTTTTTTTATGTAGGGTCTGTAATTCTGTTGTGAGATGATATACAATAGGGGAGGCAACAGAAATATTAAGATAATCTTCTGCTTTCCCATTTAAGTCTTAAGAATACTTTCGTGTACCAATCCTCTTATAACAATGTTTACCTGGCCTATTGGAGTGTGAGTGACAGGTATGCTTCCCATGTTTTCTGGATTTGCTTCTTGTGATGTATCAGATTCACTGAGACACTTGGTACGTAAATCAACCAAAGTCTTGTTCTTCTTGTCAATCTTCTTGTGGTCAAGTGACATGACACATTTTTATGAAAATTTAATGAAAAATGATCCAAACGACAAATAAAATAAATTATTTGTTATTTACCTAAATTATTGGTAATTAAAAGGGAATGTTAGCCCATTTTTTTATTTCATGGAAGTTTCCTAAATTAATCAAGTTTTCAACAAGTGACCTGTAAAATGCAGTACATAAACATTTCTGGATTTCTGAAAAGGGTGTTAAAGAAATTTCCCTCTGGCGTAGTCGTCTTTTTGCTCTCCAAAGTAGACATTATACATGTCTATATTGAAAGGAATGTTGCTGTAGTGCCAGCTACTCTGGACCGAGCCAAAAACTCGTATTGCTTCAGGCTAACAGATATTTAATTTACAATACGTAATCATCCTAGCAACGTCTGAACGTCTTAACGATTCGAGGTTATTGTGCTTGAATTCCGACAATGGCGCCAGGTAAACACTTAGGAAACTGTACGCTCCCATGGCGAGAAGAAATGCTCCTGCGTAATCTGTTGTCCAGACTGATAATTACCTTATGCAGCAAATATAAACTGAAACCTCAGCTGGGATTTTTTTTCTGGTGTTCTTCCCTATTTTAGCCTTTGCTCGCTTGGAGTGATTTGAAGGCCTTCAGGGATCGTGAAATCTACGTGTGGATAGCTAACTTAATGGAATAGAAGGCACTGTTCTAAACGCTTATAATGATATGCAAAGTGGAACTACTCTTACATAAGCTTCTATTCACGGTTAAACAATTGGATTACGTAAGATTGCGCGCCTGAGATGCAGTAAATACTGGAAACCCGCCAAAAAACTTCGCATCGTAGCTCAGTTTTCAGCGGGTGAGCTCGCGGACTTTGTTCGGATTGGACGTCCATGAAAGGACCTTGGCGACTGCAATAACTGGGACCCCATGAACTCACTTGGTTTATGCTATTTCGCTTGCTTAAAGGCCTTTGGGATTAGTTAAACCTGGAAGTGAGTTTGCCTGCTCGGCTCGGAACTAGTCCTCTGAGGTAGCATACCACCACTATTGTGAACTAGTGGAAACTTTGTGGTGTCACTTGGTTTTCTCTTGCTCTTTAAACCTAGCGGTCTTTGGAATTAGTGTGGCCTGGAGGCGATTCTGCCTGGACGGCAGGGAACTAGTTCATGAAAACTAATGTTCGACAACTAGTGTTTAACTAGTGGAAACGTCATAGTATGGCTTGGTTTATTCTTGTTCCCTGGACCTAGCGGTCTTTGGGGTTGGTTTAGCTTGGAGGCGATTCTGCCTGGACGGCAGGGACCTAGTTCACGGAAATTAATGTTCGACAACTAGTGTTAAGGTGGCCGAACACAGTTTTCGCGCGCGCTTTTGCTGATGCAATTGAGCGCGCGCACAAGGATTGCAAAGAGCGATCATTTTATTTACTCAAC